AGTACTAACCTGTGTGTAGTTGTTGTAGCAGTACTCTGTAGTAGTACTAACCTGTGTGTAGTTGTTGTAGCAGTACTCGGCCACGTTCATCAGGTTGTCGTAGTTTTCTCTCAGATTCTTGCGGGCGTGTGGAACCTCCTCCAGGATCTTTGTCACCTGGTCCTTGAAGTTCTGATCCTTCATTCTGCCGTCAGCTCGGTCCGAATCCTGAGAAAAACAAACTTAACAGAACCAGGATCTGCAGGACGATCCAGACTGGACTGAACCAGAGTTTATTTTCTGTATCAGTGTGTTCAGAACCAACAGAACCAACAGAACCAACAGAACCAGTGACTGGTGGACAGTTGAACTGGAGTCTGATGGACCMTGACTTCATGATCTAATAAGGTTGRTTTTATAAAAGAGATCTGAAATTCTCCTCTCTTTGAAAGAACAAGTTCCTGAAASTGAAACCGGGCCCGGTTCTTGTTGTTAGACTGGGTTTTTTAAAAAAAGAAGTACTGAAGGAACTTCTGCAGGAACCATGGAGCTGAAAACTGTTTATTCTGTCATCAGATCCGACAGTTCCTCTTTAAATGTGTTGGTTTCAGTTTGTAAGTTTTAGGATCAGAACTTACAGCAGTGATGATTGACAGGTTCTGTGTTAATATAACATATAATTATAACAGAACCTGGGTTCTGTTATAATTATATGACAGCAAACGGGGAGACGGTTCTACAACATTATTCTACAACTAAATTTGACRTGATCAGAAAGTTTAAATAGAACTGATCCAGATCTTCATCTGGACCTGTTTTAATGAAAGGTTCTGACCCAGCCTGACGGTTATTGATGAGGAGACAATAAATGATCAGTATTGATGAGACTCACCAGAAGAAGAGGCAGAATGATGAACCTCCAGCTGTCTGACAAACTTCTCTCTGCAGCTTCAAGTTTCCTCTCTGCGGTCAAAGATCCTCTCTGAGACAGACRCCTCACTCCGCACAGCCACCAGGTCCAGCAGTAAGCGTCGGGATGGATCCACAGAAACCTGTCGGAGTGAGGCCTCCTGTCTGTGTTTTCTGCTCTGTGTGTCAACCTGCTCACTTTAAACCACTTCCTGTTTCACATCAACTCCCAAAACCTTTTCTAAAGACAGAAAGAGACTGAGTCAGAAAACCTGCAGACTTCCTGTGGATCTGTGATGTCTGACAGAACAGAACACGTAGAAGAGCAGGATGAAACATTCCTCTGTTGCTGTTAGAAGTTAAAGCTGCTTCAGTCAAACTACAGTCTGTAGCGCCCCCTGCTGGTCCATCTCCCTCCTGCGTCACATGTCAAAACTGAAAATAATAATAATAATAATAATAATAACAATAATAATAAAATAAAAATAATACAATAAACAACTGAGTTGGTAAAGCTAAAAGCAGA